CTTTACTTTAAAATGAATTCAAAAGTTTATTGCTGTTCATATTTCACTTAGAAATTAATTGCAAATTCACCATGTCTATTCTCACGAGTATATTAAGTTTGTTTGGTTTCGATGTTCGGACTACAGTTATAACCTTAATAATTGCATTTATTGTGTATAAGTTGGCCAAATATTATGAGCGAGTTTTTGCTTTACCTCCCGGGCCCATACCTGTGCCATTTTTAGGCAGTGTATTTCGTATGTTACTAATATATATATATTTACATAATATTTTTACAATGTTAATAATTTATATAATTATTTATAGACTTAAAGGGGACAAAAGGGCACTGGACTCAAGAGTTTAAAAAGTATAGCAAAAAATATGGCAAAATGTGGACTTTTAGTTTAGGCAATGATCCACTGGTTATAATAAATGATGTGGAATTGGGTAAAGAATTGTACCGCAAAAACGAGTTGACTGGTCGGCTGTCTAACTACTTCTGTAAGTAGCTTGCACAATTTGTGTAACTTCTGTTGCACAATATTCGTAAAAATAAGTTAAACTTATTTTATATAAATCTTATGTTTCAAATTATTTATAATCATAACATTAAATAGATTACATAAAGATTCATGTAAATGATTTCATATATATATTTAATGTGATATTATAGCTGAAGTAATAAACACCGAAAAGCGTTCGGATATAGTGGGCGCCGATTACGGCCATACGTGGGAAGCGCTCAGACGTGTCGGACATTCAGCCATTCAGTGAGACTTTTATTGATTAACAAAAAGTTAATTATAAATCAAAATTATATTTGTGTAGAAAATATTCCGGAAGTGAGAAACTGGTGCTATTGGCGAGTGATTGTGTCGACCGTACAATAAAAATGGTTGTCGAGAAAGAGGGACTCAATAAACCATTCAATCCATTGCCTTATATTTACCAACTATTCTTCAATATATTATCTACCAGTGCTTTCGGGAGAAGGTATGCATACTATTTAAACATAACGGTATAAAACCTTTTTAATAATTATAATTTTCCACATTAATAGCTATGATATGAATGATAAAGAATACAAACAACTTAAATATGTTATGAAAGATATGATACGAGAAAATGGGATCCAATTTATAATCTTACAATTCGTGCCAATCATGAGATATGTGTTCAGAGGTGCGGCTAATAAACAGCAAAAAGTTATCAATGAGATGATAGATATGTTGAGCAATAAGTTTAGCAAACATTATGTCGATTACGATGAGTCCGTTTGCCGTGACTTTTGTGATGCACTCATAACCGCTAAGAATGAGGCCCTCAGAGAGGGTAAAGAGTCGGCCCCTTATCTCACCGATGATAACCTGGCTTTAGTTGTATTTGATCTGTTCCTCGCGGGCACCGACACCTCGCAAATGACTTTCCAATGGCTCCTATTATTCCTCTCGTATTACCCTTCAGTGCAGCGAAAGTTGAGACAAGAGATTGAGACACAAATCGGAGACCGAATGCCAACACATGAGGACAGGAATCGATGCCATTATGTCATGGCTTTCATCTCTGAGACAATGAGACTGCGAAATGTTCAGTGCAGCGAAAGTTGAGACAAGAGATTGAGACACAAATCGGAGACCGAATGCCAACACATGAGGACAGGAATCGATGCCATTATGTCATGGCTTTTATCGCTGAGACAATGAGACTGCGAAATGTAGTTCCTTTAGGTGTTCCCCATAAAGCAGTGGTACAAATGCAAATCGGCGACTACACCATTCCCAAGGGAACGGGAGTCGCCCTCTTTCACGACGAGATATTGACGGATGAAAAGTATTGGGAAAATGGCGACCAGTTTACACCCGAGCGCTTCCTAGACAGTGAGGGCCAGTACATGACTACCCGTCCCCTGGCATTCATCCCGTTCGGTGTGGGACGACGTGTTTGTTTGGGCGAGAAGTTAGCCATCGCTGACCTCTTCCTAGTTTTGGTCAGATTTCTGCAGTCGACTCAAGACTACGACCTAATACTCGGCCGTAACTCCGGTATAGATACTGACCCGGATATAGTGGAGAGTAATAATCCAAAAGGATATGAAATTATTTTAAGAGAAAAGGTTAAATAAAATAATTTATTTACAATTATGATTTTTAATGAGGGCAAATTGCATAACACCCATACTGAACCCATTTGTAAAAAATTGTATAAAATTATTTTAATATTTAATTGAGTTTTATAAACTACTAGTTAATACTTATAATATTTAATTTGCAAAATATGGTAAAAAGTTATTTATGCATTACAAAATAACGTTTAAATCATAATCGCAATTTATTGTTTTTGAAACATACTTTGTATTACATATTCTGTACATAATTTTATTAAATTAATAACTATTCTTACAATAAACATCTAATAATCATAACATAATTTTATTAATAAAAACTTTAATAAAACAAAATAACAAATTATTGAAATCTCCGGAGAGACTCTTTATCACAAACTGTAAGTCTATAACAATTATGAATACAACCTGGACATTTGCGGTTTGCCATCAGCAGCCATGGACATGAAATAATCAGTCTGTACGCAAAAACTGCCAAACGCCTTAGTCTTAGCCGCATCTGGTTTACCACAGGTAGCCCCCAAAAATTTCTTTTCATTGTCCTCGCTCACAAAACCTGTGGGAAGGTTATCGCAGTTGCAGTCCAGGTTCGCACTCTCTATTAAATTACACATATTTTCATTTATACATAGTTTGCATTAAATCATAGCAACCTATATAAATTGGCAAAATTAATTATCCATTTTTACAGTCGTATTCATAGTGTCGACTTAAGTCTTAGCTGGGTCTCACATTTTAAGTAATTGCTCACTTGGTTTATGAAACGCATTTAATCTGAGCTGCACCTTAAAACAACGTCTAAAACTTAAAAATTTAAGTCTCATACCGATCAAACTTATCCCTGTAGGTAGGCTTCCCCTATGAAAGTGTATGGGCCCACATCGGACTGAATTTAATATAATTTGAAATAAAGAGTTAAGATGGTTTTATGAAATGAGATTAGACAAGTGGGCTAAGATGCAATGTAAGGTCCAGCTCAGATTAAAATCCAATTTGTTTATGAATACCACTGTAAGAGTGTGTTTTCCATATTGTTTTTTGGTTTATTTATATCTATTGTTATATTTATGTGCGAATTCTTCGTTCAGACAATATTATTATTTTTATTTTATAAATTTTTCATAATATTATTCAAACATTTCTAACAGCTAATTTAATTATTTCATAAATTTATTATACAAATAAAATATGTCTTCTGAATTTGTATAACTAGAATACAATTGTTTTTCATATAATTAAATTTATTTATTTACATGTTATTTTTAGAATTATTAAAACGCCTTATACCAAAAATTAAATTAATAATATGTTATATTGTACACACCCTAATAATAATCTAATAAATAGTCCATTTTAATATTTAATTCAGCACTCAGTATTTTACCATAGATTTTATATAGCTGGAAAAAAGTTTAATAGCAAATGTATTTAGCAAATTAATTCATATAAATGGCTAACTTGGGGACACCAATTAGGGCTAATTTTCAATTAGATGGGGTCATAGGCTATGAGACTGATCCATACATATTTGAATATAATTTCACTATGAAAGGCAATTTTACTGCTACCTGGCAACAAATGGTAGTACAAAATGTCATATTCACTTATAATATTAATGATTATACACAAAAATGATATTACCTAGATCGTAAGTGATGACCCACGTGACATATCGATTCTGTATTCGCCTTATTATTTCATACTTAAAGAACTGGTCAGACGAACACAATTCGGGTAATAATTATGTGATAAACTAATAATTACTTTAAACCTTTTGCAATTCATTTCAGTGTAATACCGGTGCCAATTGAACCGGGCAGTTCACTGCAAACAAATGAGTTTAATTATACTTTGGAGCCGTTTATAAAATACATTTATAAAAGAGTATGTTCTTTAAACCTTTTGCAATTCATTTCAGTGTAATACCGGTGCCAATTGAACTGGGCAGTTCACTGCAAACAAATGAGTTTAATTATACTTTGGAGCCGTTTATAAAATACATTTATAAAAGAGTATGTAATAATTTTTAATAATTATATTTAAATTAGATGAATTTAATTTTCATATAGGAAGTGGATATAAGCATGGTGTTGTTGCAACTTAATGAACATTTCGTACGGTTTGCCAATTTATTAATAGCCCACAACACGCCCACCATTGAAATATTAGGCGCCTATTATCGTAATACAGATACAAATCCATATTTCGGTGTTTTTAAGATATTTCATAAATATGTATAAATAAATGAATGAACCTATTGTTGAATATGTTATGTATTCATTTATATATTATTTTTGTTATTAGTTTTGGTTATTTCTGGTCATAACATATCTATTGGTTTCGATTTATTTATCGAGTGAAAGGCTATATAAAACTTTTAATAATAATTTCAATTTTTTCAGTTATAAAATGTACTTGATTCTATATAATGTTTCATTTTAATGCAATTGTCTTATTTTTTTAGATATAACCTTGGTAGTGTTATTAAAGAGATTATTCACAGTGAATTTTGGATTGCTCTGAATGCATATGTAATGCAATGTATGTGTAATGATTTGATTGCTCATATAACTTTATAATTAAAATTATCGCACATTTTACAGCAATTAATGTCAAACATATAACGAATAGATACATGATCATTATTGGCATACTATTGATATCAAAATTTCAGATTTTAAATCTGTTTAATCAGGAGATACTGTCCATTACTATACAGAAAGAGTATAAAGTAATCGATTCATTGGAAGACTTGGAGGCAAGACCTGAATTAATGCCAAAGATTTTGATGACATTAAATGATTTGCAAGAATTGCTGGTTAACATTTATGTTTAATTTAAAAGCCTACTAGATAAACTTTTTAAAAATGAATTAAACTTCTTAACCATACAATAGAAAACCGCAAATCCTATTGAAAGTCGAGTTTTGCGGAAAGCCTTAGCCGATGATAGCGATTACATTGACATCACATACACTAAACTGTTCGAGAAGTACACGGATCTCATGGATGACATCAAGAATAAGAAGACACACGTCTTGATTGCATCGGATTTCAATATATTCTTCTTCACGAGACTATCGGACGCCGACTCACGAGACATATATGTGGCCCGCAATCACTACTTCAATAAACCTTACGGTTGGGTCGTTCACAAAGAGACGGATCAATTAATTGTCGATCAGTTTCTCGAAATGTAGTCTATATATTAATTTTGTCAATTTTAATTATATTACAAATAATGTATTAAATTTATAAATCATAGTATGGCTGAAACCCTTGAATGTGGACTTTTGCACAAATGGCGAGAGGGGGCCCTCCATTTCGGACATGAATTTTATTTGAAAGATAAAAATAAAAATAATGAGACGGAAGGGTATGTTCCGGATGAGCCATTCAAACCTATGACAGTGGACGCTGTGAAGATAGGACTGGGACCTTATTTTGCTGGCATTTTTATTGCTATTTTCATGTATGCCGTTGAGTTTGGTATACAGTATGAAAGTGATCACTGAATACAATCATATCATAAATATTTTAAAAACATATTAACAAATAATTTATTTGAATGAAAAAACCTTTTCTAAAGGGTTTATTTCAAGTATGAATAAATTTTTTAAATGGTGGAAAATTATATAAAACAATAATTTTCATTCATATTAATAAATCATAGAATAATTTGAAAAATATTGTTGTAAAGTAATATGTGTTGAGAAATTCTATAATTTTGTTAAGTGCCAAGGTTATTGAATTTAAAATGTATATTTTATTTATTCTAATAAATTCATGGTAAACAAACTATTTGTTGAGAAATACATATAAATGTCTTTATTGGAGGACATTATTAAGATATATTAATATAAAGGTATAAATATTCAATCACTCAAATGATGAATATAATTACTAGTATTGTATAATAAGTCCCATTAATACAAAGAAATTGGTTGAAAAGAAATCAATACATTTAAATGAACTGTATGCTTTAAATAGCTTCATTGTATGCTTTGTTTTGAATTTTAAATTTCCATAACAATTAGGATATTCTGTGGTAAACAATAAAACATGTTTAAATTAATAAATGTAATTAATATTATAAAAGGCATATGCTAATTCCAGGTAAATACAGGTTTGCGTTACTTTATTAATATATTAATATAATGAAAAGTTGCTGTAAATGTGGTCTTTCCTCCAAATCCTGCAACGAATCGATAACTTTATACGGGTTTTGAATAGTAATCGATAGGATCTCCTGATTAAAGAAATTTAATACGAAAAACTTTGCCACAAATAAAACACCAATAATTAACAAATATCTGTGCGTTGAATGACTGATAATTATACCTAAAAATTAAATAATTTTCAATTTAATCTAATTTTTAATTAATAATTATACAATATACTTTGCATTAGAATTGCGTTCAATGTTATAAACATTTGCTCTAATATTACCAAGTTCTTATCATAATAATTAACTCTTGTTTTACTGTTAAAATATAAACTTCGTTATTTTAAAATTTTACAAAATTTGTGACCATACTTGATATTCATAACTTCCAATGATAGTACTGTTAAACATACCAAGGTACTAAATATTAAAAGTGACCAAAACTATACGTTGTAATAAATAAATACAATACGTTAAACTTAATTTATGTGTTATTTAGTTTATTAAATAAAAGTTTCCAATATTACTGACATATCCGTCAAAAATCTTAAAAGTGCCAAAATATGAATTGGAGTCAGTATTCACATATAAGCCCCCTAATATGGTTATACCAGGTGAATTATAAGATACCACTATATCTGCAAATGTGATTAGCATCTCGTTAAGTTGAGAATAATCCAGAGCTATATCCACTTCCTAGTGAAATTAGTTTTGTGTTATTTTAATATAATATTATTTCATTTATTGTTCATTTATTCATTTATACAATTATTATACAGTATACCATAATATTTGATAGTTATTAATAGTAACTTATTATTAACTATTAATAA